CGGTGGCGGGAATGGTGTCGAGGCGAGTGTCGCGAGTGGTAACGGATTACTGTTGGGTGCTGTGGGTGGGAACAGTGGTGTACGCGCTGAGCAGGGACGCGAAGTAAGGAAAAGGAATTTTCCTTACAGGTTTGAAGTTAAAAAAAAGGTTCAACTTTGAGCTGGTAACCACCTTCGTTAATTTCGTCAAAGGTTGTTAGCGAGGGTCGTGTGTCGAAGTTCAAAGTTGATGAATTTGTAGGACACTGAACTGAGGTCGAATTTTGCGGCTACGTAAATCCAAACGTGTGTTCTTCTGCTAGTGCACAGTGAATTTTCGAACTGCACGGAAACAAAGAATGACATCGTACGAGGTTACGGAAGCCGGATTCGGTGACGAACTATGCTTCCTAGGCAGGGTAACCTACGAGACCTAGGCACGACTCGGGATTTACTGAACAAAGTCGAACTGTGATAGTAGAACTGTGCTTGATGTGAAAGATTAGCTGCGATTCGCCCACAAAATGTTCTTTAGTCGACCACAGGTCGACCAGAGTTCAAACGTGAAAAGTTCAGCAAAAAAACATGAACTTCATATACACAGTGGACAGTGGTTTTAGAATCAAATATCATGCTGTACCTAGGCGGAGGCGGGATTCTGCCTAGGCGGTAAGGAGAAGGTGCGGGGAAGCGACTGAGGCTTGTTGGTTTGGGCTTGGGGATGCCAACGAGGGAGACGCTGCGGAGAGATGTGCCTAGGCGAGTGGGGTTTGAGATGCCGAGCCGAGGCGAACAGTTATGATTTGGTTTGGGGATGCCAAGGCGGGAGGGAGGGGGATGGGGATGCCGGGGCGGGATGCGGATGGTGCGAAGGGTGAAGGGGAGGCTGGCCCAGGCGGACCTCCCTGGGCGGGATTTTATGGGGGGGAGGCCGCCTCGGGACATTTGAAGAAGTCTTCCGGCAAGGACCAACATCGACGTGTTTTCGGTCAGCCTGACAGATTCGGTGGAGCGTGAGGTGTGTTTCGGTGGCGGAGTCAAGAATGAGAAAAGTGGCCAGGTTTTGACTTCGTGGCCCCGCAAACAACTTGGCGTTGCATTTACAGACTGCGTGGCTCAAGTGGTGAATCTCTCCACTAAAGTAATTTCCGACTCTTGTCATGGACGTGTTTCTCTCATACACATCCGATTCGCCTTCGCAATGATCTCTGAAAACCCTCACTACAGTGCCGGGCAGGGGTGTCTGCAAAAACATTTCATAGCGTCAGGAACCAAATCGCCTGACAGGGGATGCGATGATGCCACACTTCCTCCCACCATGTCCAACCAACCGACCAAACTGGTGGGCCGTGTCGGTGCCTCACGGTGTGCAGTACGTCATGTACACCTTGCTTCTCTATATATCGACGTTGGCAGTGTGTTCCACGCGATTTGTATAACACCAACGCGTCCTAAACGGCCCTAGAACACAGCATATAAGCACAATCAGCCGCACTTAACCGTACGTAGTAACGATGGTTCTTTTATAAACCGTTGTTGGTTGTTTTCCTGCTGTGCATCTGGTCGCTTACAATCAACAGCCCGGAAAACTCAGCACGGTAGCCAGTGCTCCCGCTTGTTCGAACATCAGCAACAGGGTGAACAGTGATTGCAGTATGTGCCACACGCCTGCCTCGAGGGTCGTCGTTTTTATTCCATCCTACCCCACCCTTCTCCACCCCACATCACCCCACCCACCGGTACAGCGTCCTTCCTTAGGGCGCGTGTCTTTTAGGCCTTGAACTGTAGCGCCACGAGGTACGACCAGCTCAGCCACTGGAGCAGATTAGCGCAACTGTCCCAACCGCACACACGGTTCGCCCACCGAATCGAATCCGCGCATACACCTCCTCAACCCTCCAAATTCCTCCAAACGTATTTCCCTTGATGCCACCAGCCAATCCCAATCAAGTACAGTTTCTCCCCCCCATTCTTGCCCAGCGTTTCCAGCCCATACACCATCGAAGCTCGCAAGTGCAGCATGGTGGGCGGCGCCACTAGTCCGCAAAAACGCGGCCCTTTTCAGTCCTCCAGACCAGACCAGACATGTGATGGGATGGGATGGGATCATGGGATGAGGGGAAGCCACGTCCATCAAAACATATTCAAAACCAAACAGTAACAGCCTCGGCTCGGCTCTCCCTTGTCACTCGCTCCCCTAACCTCCCCTTCCCTCCCTTTCCCGCTAAATCCTTCCCTTATGAGCCACTCCAAAACAGCCTTTCCTTCATCAGTCCCCCATCCATCCATTCCTTCCCGTCCCATCCCATCCCTCCTTCCCTCCCTCCCTCCCTCCTCAATCATCCGACTGGACCAACGTCCTTGCTCTTCGAGCTTCCTCGCTTCAATTCCCTAGTGCGTAAAATAATTGGTCATCCACACTGGTTGTGCTCTGTACTGTACTGTTGTGTAATTTTGTGTACATACAACCACCGCTGTCCACCGGCTCCTCTCGTCTCGATATCTCGCCCACTTTCATCTACAGATTACACGTCGCGTCGCGGCGTGTGTACAGTGATCACATAGGTGTTGACGTCACGAGTCTTGACTGTTCCGCCAATACAGCATTGTCCCGCTGCTCCGATCCGAAGTTGGTGTCCCCCTGAGTCGACTCTACCTCACACATCAAAGGGAGTTCTTTCCCCTTCCCTCCCCCTCTCCCCTTCCCCCCAACGACCACTCCATTCACCTCAGTGCAACTCCGCTCGCGCATATGCATTGCGCTCCGCGCCCTGCGCCCTGCGCCTGCGCCCTGCGCCTGCGCACTGCGCTCCAGAGTTCATTCCACGCTACCGTGGTGTCGTGTTCGACTCGCAAAGCCGACCGAAGGGCCATCGAGGTTTGAGTTGAGATACCCGAGCACATGAATCCTGGTATGCGAGTTGCTCCCGCCCGCCTGCTCAGACTCAATAAGGGTTACCGGGTTACCAGTCCAGTCACCGCCGCACACCGCCAGCCCAGCAGGTGCTCCTTTTTTTAGGCGTAGGCTCTCAGGAGGACATATGTTACGAGAGCGACGCGCGTATACATCCTGATGTATCGCTCTCGTAGTATATGTTTTTTAGGCGTACGGACTCAGGAGGGCATATGTTACGAGAGCGACGCGCCACACACCAGTATGGCCTAATGTGTCGCACCATACAGTCCTGATGTGTCGCTCTCGTAGCGTCGCAGGACGTCGGCGCCACGACATCATATTGCGCGACCCGCAAGGCTGTGTTAAATAGGCATTTGCAGTTGCGGCAGCAATTCCGTTCTGCGAGGATTACTAAACGAAATGGGGCTACTTGTTACAAGGAGTGCTTCGCGAAGGTTTCACGGAAAATTAGGGTTACCATTAGCGAAAGGGATAGAAATGCGAGAGTGTTTAGCTTGGATGCGACGATCTCGGATCGCTATTCTGCTCTTGACTGTGGTCGCTCTCAGCTGCACCGCAGTTCACGCCGAAAGTCGCGCCGTGTCACGCGCCGCAAATGACGCTGGAAGCGCTAGTCAGCAGTCATTCGATTTTCAAAGATCTCCCGAAGCAGCGTCTCGATTTCCGTTGCCGGATGTAGATTCACTGTCGGACAGTGCGGCGGGAACTTTCGACGAAGGTAGTAACAGGATACAACAGGAGTCGAGACACGAGGAAGGAGTACCTGACTTGGCGGAAATACAGGGGACAGAAGCGGCGGCGCAGGGGGCGGAAGCGGCGCAAGGGGCTGAAGCGGCGCAAGGGGCGGAAGCGCAAGGGGCGGGCGGCTTGGACTTGGGAAAGCACAGAAGTAGCGCGGATAACGGGGAAATGGCTTTAGCAGAAGACAGATCCAATCAACCGCAGAACTGGTGGAGCTCTTTCAAGTCGCTTTGGACGAGTAACGAATCGACTCCAAGCGCGGACGACGAGGGTACTCTTAGAGAAGCGGGACACGTCGAGGATGGGGCGGAAGGCGGACGAGACGAGAAAGGGGAGGGGGGAGAGGGAGAGGGAGAGGGAGAGGGCGGGGAGGATGAAGGGGAGGGGGAGGAGGGGGAGGAAGGGCAGGGTGGGGAGGAGGAATACGCAGGAGAGGAAGAAGAAGAGGAGGGAAACGGGGAGGCGGAGGAAGATGAGGAGGGGGGGTGGGACGAGGGAGGGGAGAGCGATGACGAAGGGGAGTGGGACGAGGAGGGGGAGGGTGATGAGGAAGAGTGGGGAGCGGATGCTCTTGGAGGGATGAGCGCGGAGGAGCTAGAGGGACTTTGGCGGGCGGGAGACGAGGAGGCGGAGGGGGAGGGGGAAGGGGAGGGGGATCGTGGGGAGGGGTGGGGCCGGGAATGGGTCACGCGGAGGGGGGAGGAGGAGGAAGTTGTCGCGCAGGGCTGGGCGTTGTCAGAAGAAGCGGACGATGTGGCGGAAGCTGCGGAAGCGGCGGAACCCGAGGCGGCGGAAGACCACGCGCGCAGGGAGGAGAGCAAAGAGCATCGAAAGGACAGATCTGGATCCAATGATGGGTCAGACGAAGCGGATGTGACAGCAACGAGCGTAGAGCAAGCGCAATGGACGAGCGACCTCGCCTTAAACGAGCCGGAGTTTAACGAAAAACTTTCGCTGCGGCGATCGTCGCAGCGCTCCCTCATCACAGTCGCCAACGCCGTTAACGGCGGCTGTGGCGTCGTCACCCGTTCGAATTTGAAATTCAAACATATCGGCGGGAAAAAACCCAAGTTTCCCCCGAGCGCCGGTAAAAGGAGGAGCGGAAGCTCCGGTGCGCGCTCCAGTTCAGCGAAGAAGCTGCGGAAACAGTTTCGCAAACGCTTTAAGCGGGGATCGCAGCAGCTATTAAACCTGCTTTGGAGCGTCGCGGTAAAGGTGAACAACACGAAGCAGTTTGGATCGTTGCGGACGATTATAAGCGCGGTGATTACAAAGGGGGTGATTATCGCTTCGGAAGCGCTCGGGTTGAATATTCCGGAAGGACGCGCTTTCATTGCGACGCTCGTCGTCGTCGCGCGATCGAATGCGACAGGTGGCGACGCTTCTGCTCCTGCGGGAGCTGCTCCTGGCAACTCGTCGTTGTCGCCGGTACGCACGAATGCTTGCTTGTTTTTTGTTTTTGTTTTTGTTTTTGTTTTTGTTTTTGTTTTTGTTTTTTTTTTTTCCTTCTGCCTTTCAGGATCCGTGTTTCCGCGTATATCAAAATCAACCCCCTTGCTCGCTTGCTTCGTAAACTCGCCAGAATGCGCATTTCCTGTGTCAAGAGTATTTTGTTCGCTGCCCAGCCCCACTGACCTGCTTTGTTTCTTCTCCCCGCCTCGTCCTCCCCGTTACAGGCCACATTCATTTACGACGTTGCGTACGTTCCAACAAACAACACCTCAAACCGTACAGTGCCCGTGCCGCCTCCGCCTTGCCCCTCTCGCCCTTCGCAAATCTCCCTCTCGCCCCCTCCCCCTGGTAATCCTTCCCCCACAATCTCCCCCTCCCCCGTGCAATCCCAACCCTGCAATCCGCAAACTCCCCCCTCCCCCGGTAATTCCTCCCCTCCCCCCCTCAGCTCCCCCTCCCCAACTCCCCCAACTAACAACTCGTTAGAATCACCCCCGTTACAACCACCACCGCCACCACCAACCTCACCCAACCCATCCACACCGCCACCAGGCTCGGTTCCCGAACCTAGTCCTCCTATGGTTGTGGGTTCCACCAGTACTTATTTCGAGTTTACCTCACCCCAAGCCTCCAATAACAGCAGCAGCAGCAGTGGCAGCAGCACCGGCAACGTCACTCCCAGCAGCAACGCCAACATCCGTTCCGACCCACCCAAGCGACAGCTGGCAACTATATCCCCCTCCAGTAACCAAACCCCCAGGCCAGCAGGTGCCGGAGGTTCGGCAGCCGCCTCGACAGCAGGCTCGGCAGCAGGCTCACCGCAGGGCATCGACTACGTATTCCCATCATCCACCCCTTCCTGCTCCTCTGGCCCATTCGTCTCCATGCTCTTCATTCCCCTCAAACCCTCCTGTCCCAGTCCGCCCAACACAAGACAACTCACTGTAATCACGTGAGTGTTATCCCACAACACCTTTTTCTGTATTCCCTTAACCCCTCCTGCCCAGTCCCCTCAATACATAAAGTCCACCCTGTCATCTTGTGATTGGTACTCCACACGTTTGCCATTGTAAACCACTTGTCAGCCCCGGTTCTAACAAACCCTCCCAGTAGAAAAACAGCCGCAACAATCACGATTTGTATACTTGATTTCCCTCCTGGTGCGAGACAGCTCATTGTCATCACAGCACACTGTATTGTCGATTATCACCGTTGTTCCTGCTGTGTTCTTTGCTCCTCTTTTCTCCCTTCTATGACTACTGCTCCATTTGTTTTTTACAAAATTATACTCCATTCGTACATGCATTTTTCACGAGTTTGTGACACTAATCATGCTGACTACTCCTTTCCATTTCAGGTATAAAAACATTCGTTACCTGCGACTGCGATTCGGGTTGCCCGGAAAAGGCTGCCAGCGCCTGTACAAGTTTCAGCTGCCCAACTTTATGGGGCGGCTGGTGAAAGGGCCAGTGACAATGCGGGTGTGTGCTCAGGGCAAGCCAAAAAAAGACTCGTGTGGGGTTATGACACTCACTGCTGCTGTTCCTTCCTGTAGACGGTAATGCAACAGTACCGTATATTTCTTATGACATACGGTATGTTTGAAGTTTCCGTAACAGAAGTTACGTTCGTTCATGGAACATTTCACACTCCTCAAAACAGGGTACAGTCCACATCTCTTCTGTGATAAGCGTTCGCATGCCGAAAGCTCGCGCACGCTCGTTGTGTAAGATAGAATAAAATGAGGAAAGGGGTACAGTACATCTTCCAATACATAACATCAAGCTACCCTCTTCTAACGATTCCAAACAATGGCTAGCATAACAGAGCCTTACCAGATAATACCATATATTCGAGCAAGTACCGTACTAATATCAGACATTCACTTGGTGAGGGTGTCTTCTAATGAGGATGAACTCTCCCAGGAACTGCCTCGGCTCTGCACTGCATCCACCTCCCTGCCCTCCTGCCACGACTGCCCCACAATCCCTCCCCCTCCCTCCTCCTGCCCTCAGTTCTATCTACTGGTATCAAACGTTAACTTGATGAGGGTGTCTTCTAACGAGGATAAACTCCCCCAGGAACTGCCTCGGCTCGGCATCCACCTCTCTCCCCTCCTCCCACGACTGCCCCACTATCACCCCCGGCCCCGCTGCCCTCACATAGTCTCTGAAATCGTCGTTGAATATGGGCGGGTGGGGACCTGATTGGGTTGGGAAGAAAAGGGAGGATATGGTTGGGAAGAAAAGGGAGGATATGGTTGGGAAGAAAAGGGAGGATATGGTTGGGAAGAAAAGGGAGGATATGGTTGGGTTGGGCTGCCCTCACGTAGTCCCTGAAATCGTTGTTGAATATGGGTGGGTGGGCACTGGTTGGGACGGGAAAAGACACGAGAGGATGATCAAAGGGTGGAAATAGAGAGAAGAAAAAATTGTAGGTGAAAAAAAACCCTCCTCCCCCCCTCACCCCACCTTCCCTGCCCACCTGCCACGACTGCCCCACTATCACCCCCACCTCAAATACCGTCAATGAATATGGAAGGGTCATGCAAGGGGAGAAAGAGAGAAGAATGTATTGTAGGAAAGACGAACCCCTTTTCACCCCTCTCCCCTCCCTGCCCTCCCTGCCCTCCTGCCATGACTGCCCCACAATCACCCCCGGCCCCGCTGCCCTCACGCTCCCTGAAATCATCATTGAACATGGGCGGGTGGGGACCTGATAGGGTCGGGCCCCTGCTGCCCTCACATAGTCTCTGAAATCGTCGTTGAATATGGGCGGGTGGGGACCTGGTCTTATTGGGAAGAGAAGGAAGGGAGGAGGAGGATATCATATGTGAGAGTGCATCCCCCGGCCCCGCTGCCCTCACATAGTCCCGGAAATCGTCGTTGAATATGGGCGGGTGGGTGCCTCATATAGTCGGCAAGAGAAGGGAGGAAGATGTGGGGGTGAGAGAGTGTAAGATGGAAGTGACAGAGAAAGTGAGAGTGAGAAAAACTGACTGTAGAGAAAAGTAGCCGCTTACTCACGCTGCTCCCTGCCATGATTGAACCCACTATCCCCCCCGGCCCCACTGCAAATCTCAAAGAGTTCAACTCACGAGGGTCAGGGAAACCTTCGGGCAGCCCCGAATCTTTCAGGTGCAGCTGCCCGGATTCATAGTCGAAGGAGAGATCACACGGCTCGTCTGTTGCGAGGACATTAGTTGCCGCCCGGATGCGGAAGTACAAGGGCGTGATTACATTGGAGAGGCCTGTAAAGAGAGGGCCACCTGATGGGATGGAGGGGAAGGCTCTGAGAGGATAGCAACGAAGGGTACGTTACGGATGGAATCATTTGTTTCTACTTTTTTGTTGCTAAGCTCAGGTGTAAAGTACACGAGCCGTGTTACCAAATGAGAGACACCGTGTTTCCAGCTGCTTCTCTTCCTGCAGCTTTCGCGGACGCCGCTTACAATCTGCTCCTCGCGTCCACCTGCCGTCGCTGGCGTCGCCTGGCGAAGAACCATGTCGCCACGCTCCTCTTGAAGGATCTCGGCGCGGTTTGTCTTCAAGAGGAGCGTGGCGACATGGTTCTTCGCCAGGCGACGCCAGCGACGGCAGGTGGACGCGGGGATCAAATTGTAAGCGGCGTCCGTGAAAGCTGCAGGAAGAGAAGCAGCTGGAAACACGGTGTCGCTCATTTGATACCTGAGAGGTGTAACATACCTGAGAGGTGTAACGTACCTGAGAGGTGTAACGTACCTGGGAGATGTAACGTACCTGAGAGATGTAACGTACCTGAGAGATGTAACGTACATGAGAGATGTAAAGTACCTGAGAGATGTAACGTACCTGAGATAACGTACCTGATAGATGTAACGTACCTGAGAGATGTAACGTACCTGGGAGATGTAACGTACCTGGGAGATGTAAAGTACCTGGGAGATGTAACGTACCTGGGAGATGTAAAGTACCTGGGAGATGTAACGTACCTGAGAGATGTAACGTACCTGAGATGACTCGACCATAGTGCAGCCCATCCGCGCCAACAAAAAAGGACTGCAGGGAGGCAAAACCGAGTTGGAAATACACAGTAGAAAGAAAGAAGAAGAAAGATTACAGAGAAGAAGAGGAAAGGGTCGCAAAACATGACTAGACCATTGTTGCCATTGAGGCGCAGCCCATCAATGGCAACTAGAACGATTGCAGAGGCGATTTTAATCACAGACAGAACTCAAACAGAAGCAGGCCGGGTTGGGTCGAATGTGGTGAGGCAAGAAATTTGGCAAATTAAATGTTTTTGTTTTTGTGAAACCTCACATAAACGGGTCATTTGGAAGCGAGCAAAATGTGAACTTGCAAGCAGGCAATTTGTGTGATTTCACACACTTCAATGGAAATTGTGAGGCAGGCAATAAGGGGGTGATGGTACCTTTCGAAAGCGCGAAAGCCACGACAATGGACCTGGGACTGGTGAAGGGGGTAGGGTGTGGGGGGGGGGAGGGAAGGGGAGGGCAATGAGCAACGACTCTTAAGGTTTGAGATGCTCTAAAAGCTGCTGGAGTGGCATGTGTTGAGAGGGAGTAGGGATTTGACAGCCATAAAACTCCCCCTCCCCCACCCTCAACCCACCCTCCTGTCATACGCCTCCCCTCCTATTCCAACCTTCTCCCCTCTGCTCCCACTTCCCTCCCATCAACTCCTCTTCCCTCCCCTCCTCTCCCCTCGTCTTCCTTCCCTCTGCCCTCCCCTCCACTCCCCGTCCCTCCCTTCCCTTCCTCTTCCCTCCCTCTCCCGTCCCATCCTCTTCTTAACTCTCCCCCCCACTCCTCTCCCCTCCCCTCGTCTCCTCTCCCATCCAACTCTCTTCCCCTCCCCTCCCCTCCCCTTTCCCGCAAACACCACTCACCTCCAATCACTCTCCCATCCCATATTTCTGGCTGCAGCGGTGCTGACGTGGCAACGTCCGGCAGCATACCCCCTGCTGACGTCACCGGGTCTGCACCTTCCTCCCCATCTTCCTGCTCCAGCTGAAAGCGATTACCAGCCGCGTCCCACATGAGGGTGATGTGACTGTAACGAGAGCAAGGGGGGAAACGGGGGGAGGGGAGTGACGAAGGAAATAGGGGAAAGAGGAAAGGCGGGGAATTTGGGAGGAACGGGGGGAACGGGGGGAATGGGGGGTTGGGTGGTTGCTGTTCCAACTGGAAAAGGGTGAGGTGAGCATGGGAGAGGGGAGAAAACGGGTCAACCATATCCCACAATCGCTTTTTGAACGATGACGTGAGCATAGCAGCATAGAGCGCGAAAGGGAGGGGAGGGGGGGTTCGGGTGGGGTGTGGGTGGGGTGTGGGTGGGTCACGGGGTCCCACATGGTTATGAAATGCATGATCAATAACTTGTACTGACTATAATATGTAATGCAATGGAAAGGAGGTGTACTGACTGGGTCTGAGCACGTCCGGAAACCTGATAGGTGAAGTGACTAGGTTATGGAATGCATTAAAAATAAATAAAAAAGTGTACTGACTGCGGTTTGAGCAGGTCCAGCAGCTTGTGGCGCCTCTCCTCGGGTTTGAGCAGGTCAAGCAGTCTGAGGCGCTTCTCCTTCCCCTGCTCGGGAATACACGAGATGAACAGAGTGTTTTGACTAGGTTATGGTATGCAGTTGAAACATAAGTGTACTCACTGGGGCTTGAGCAGGTCCAGCAGTCTGTGGCGCCTCTCCTCGGGAATGTCGCCAATCTTCCTCCTGCAGCCAATCAGAGCGCGACAGAACCGAAGGGCAAATATGGGGAGAGGACAGATGGTGAGTAATCGAGGAACGTGAACGAGAGAATTTACACGAAAATTTTGCACAACAAGGGTCGAACGAGCAAGTGAGAAGCAAAGCTGACTCTTGCAAGCTTTTAAGAAAGATAATGTCTTATCTAGGGAACAATACATATGTACAACGAAACAGGATAACACTGAACCTCGTACTCAGTAATAGAAGCCTCGATCGAAAAGCTCACCACAGGAATACTGCCGGATTGTAAGTTTCCGGATCCGACGGCCGTAAATACCGCGAGCCGTCCAGGAATCCCGGGATATCCAGCTCATCTAGATAGTATTTCCGTCCGTCCACGAATCTGTACGGCTTCTCCTCTTCCTCCACTTGCACCATCTGCTCCGCTATAAGCTCCCTCAGTTTCGCCTCGCGTCGCTCGGCTGCTTCGGACGCCGTTATTGAAACGTTCCTATCGCCGTTTGATGCGTTTTGAACGCGCTGCGAGCGTCGGCGGGAAATTCTAACGGATGTGATTCTAGGGGAGACTCTGGCGCAAACGGTGGACGAAATGGCTGGCGACACGGTTCGAATCTGGGGAAACAACGAAGCCATGGGGGCGACGGCCATGGTTGCCATAGATAGGGACGAGCTTGGGACAAGAAAACCTCTTCGGAGCACGAGTTTAGAATAAAGACTCCTTGGAGCGAAGACTACGACTAATTTCAGAGTAAGAAATTGCTTTATTTCTGACACCTCAGCAGGTGGAAATTCATAAAATAACAAGTGCTGCTAGCCCCGTATTTGACGCTGCGTGGGGAGGGGGCATTCCTGTTATCCGCAACATGGTTGCGGGCATGGCGTCTGTATAGTTCCTTTTTACACCTGCGGTGTAGGAGATAAACGTAGGTGAACGTGGCACACCAAGTATGAATATGCCAAATTATTTTAGGTACTAGCTATAGCGGAATACGGCAAGGGCTATTTCTGTCAATTGTACTCTATGTATTGATCTGCTGAAACGCAACGTGCAAATAACGGGGATCTCCTGATTTGTTGGAAGCCCACACTTCTCGTCCTCCACCGATATCCACGCCAGCACAGCTCGAGGCGTGTTTATAACCAATCCGGGAGAAGGAGGAGGTCTCGATAATTCTGCTGGTTTTGTCTGAGGCGCTATTTTCGGGCATCTCATAAGAGTTCGCTCCCACACAGTTTTGCTGGCAGAGCCACTAGTGTACATTCTAGATCGACTGATATGGGTTTTGTGTGAACTTCTATACGCCTTTCAGTAGGCAATAGGGACAGTTACCCTTATCAAAAAGCTTCGTCTGCAAGTGACCCTAGGGCTTGCCGCGTCTCCAGTTTCTCTTTATTCAGCGGGGTTCTCCGTGTTTCTTCTTTCCTGTTTTTTGCTTTCCTGATTAGGTTTTCACTACTCTCCGTTTTCCTCAATCGCTCCTTTCCACTCCTAGCGGCCCTTGTACCACGCTAAGCATTCGCGTAATTGGCGGGGTTCTAAGATGAGGAGCGTAGCTCCTCTTCCGAGTAGGCAAGTAGGGCCGGTAGCATTTCCTCGTCTAGGTCACGCGTTGCTGGCCACTAAGAACGCGGTCCGGGCTGGCTCGGGAAATGTTAGAGGCGAGAGCGCGGAGGAATGGAGCGGTATGTTCGCGGCTGATTCGCGGAGGCGAGTTTGGCCTAACGGTGTCGAGGTGGACAATCAGGTTCGTGCTTGCATCCTTGAGCTATGCATTCCGCAAAGTTACGACGCGAAACTAGAACGCTTTCGTCTTTACGACGCAAAGCTGTAATTCTAGGTCCTTTCTTAAGTTTAGTTTCACCGTATAGCCTCGACTTCCATATTGACGCCTCGAGCTGTAAATCATGTTGCCGCATAATCGCCTTCTTTTTTCCGGTTTACTTAAATACATTACTGTCCGTGGTTGCACCTGATCGCAGAACTCGATGGTATGGGTACCGAGCGCGTTCACAGGAGCGCAGCCAGCGCTGGCGGATGGGGAGCTCCCAGTACTCGACGATCACGAGCGACCTTATTTTCGGTATCCTACCGCAGCAGCGCAGAAAGCCGCACCTGGAGGAACCCCAGCGGGAGCAGGAGCAGCAGGCTCAGCAGGGACAGCAGGATCAACAGGAATAATTGCTGAAAGTTTCGCGATGATCAGAGCTCGCGAGCCCACCCCAGCTCATTTCGCCGTTCGCCACTCTCCTATCGCAAGCGACTCAGCCCCAGCAGCAGCAGCAGCCGAGGGTTCGAGATACAACCCCGACGCGCTCCGCGTCCTTTCCGAAACCCTAGCTCCACAACTCAGTCGCTCTAGCTCCGCAGCAGCATCGCTTTCACTCACTCCAGTCTCTAATAACTCCCCTGCCGAACCAACTGTCGTGCCTAGAAATGGTGTCGGATCTCCTGGATCGCAGGAATCGCAAGGAGGAGGCGCGACAAGCGCTGACTTTTCAGGATCGAGCAGGGTGGGAGGCGACGCGAGGCTGGGGGGGTTGCTGCCTCCGCGAATGACGGCGCTCAGGCTGACGTGGTCGTGGGAGGAGTGGATTCTGGGGCTAGGGATTGGCGCTGCGGCTATTGGGTTCGCCATGGCTCTCGTCACCAGCGCGACTGGCGGGAGGCTTGGATTGGGGCGTAATATGTCCTCCGTTGTAGCCCCCGCCGGGAGAGCTGTTAGCGGGGTTGTTCTTAGCGAGGATGCTGCTGCTTCTAGCGGGTCGGTTCTTAGCGAGGATCTCCTCGCAGGCGGCGATGCAGCAGCAGTGGGCGGCAGGGTGACCGCGGCGCCAGTGATAGTGTTGGGGGAGGAGCAAATTGTGGGGGTCGGAGAAACCGGAAAGAAGGTTCCTTTCTACCTGTAAGTGTTGAGAGACTTTGCTGCTGGTTTCCGCGCGAGTAGGCGCCGTCTCTCACGGTTGGTGGCGTGTTTCATTGTCTTCTCTCCCCATTTTTTTGTTTTCGAGACCCCTCAAAAATAGACTGCTGGGTTCCGCACAAGTAAGCGTCGTCTCTCACAGTTGGTGGCGCGCGTCATTGTCTTCTCTCCCCATTGTTCGTTCTAAGTTGTTTATTCATTCCAAGTCCCCCGTTTGCTTTCTGTCCTTGCACCATTCTGGATTTGCGTCGACCAGGAGGGAGGCGAAGCCAGGAGTGATCGAACTGTCTGCGGCCACTCTGCCCCACGTGCTGCGACTCAGGTGGGCTCTCGGGTGCCCTCAGGTGATCTCAGGTGATATCAGGTGCTCTTATGCGATCTCAGGTGCTCTCGGGTGCGCCCAAGGCAACGCGGAGTAACTCATGAGTGCTTTTAGATGAGTCGATTCGCGTACAGGTAGATGCAAGTGCCCTCTAGCGCTCTCAGGTGCTCTCAGGTGCTCTCAGGTGCTCGCAGGTGTTCTGAGGTGTGTTAGTTCTTGGTGTCAGGTGTCACGCCTTATGCCCAATTGGATAATGTTCCACCCCCTCTGCTGCCCTCACTTCCAGGGCATGGAGTTGGCATTCCAGCATGACAGCACGGCAGCATGACAGCACGGGCGTACAGTCCTTGCAGCCATGCCTCGTCACTTCTTCTTCAGCTGTCTCCCATGTGTCTCCCCTCTCCCTCTCCAGGCCCACGCTCGTCATGTTCTACGCGCCCTGGTGCCCCTACTGCCAGCGCATGGAGGCTGCATGGTTGCATGGTCACTCAGTGCTGTGGTCTCTGTGCCTGCCCTCTCTCCCTTCCCCTCCCTCACGTGTGTGTCTCTCCCTCGCCAGGCCCACGCTCGTGATGTTCTACGCGCCCTGGTGCCCCTACTGCCAGCGCATGGAGGGGGCATGGGCGGCTCTGGCGGAGAAGCTGCATCAGGAGAGCTTCAACGTGCAGGTGAGGGGGTTGGGAGTGGTGCGATCTGGTGCAGGGGATGTAGGGCATGGCTCGAATAGGCTGCATGCTGGACAGGTGGCATGGGTAGCCCTGGTGGAGACGCTCCAGCAGGAGAGCTTCAACGTGCAGGTGGTGCGGTCGGGAGTGGTGCAATCTGGTGCAGGTGGAGGTGGCGGTGTTGGGAGTGGTTTCGCCGGGTGCATGTGGGTGAGTGGTACGGCTCGGTGCAGGTGGGGTTGTTGTGAGTGGTATAATTGGACGATTGTTATGTGATTAAAGGAACTCTCCATCCCCCTCCTCCCACCCACAACAAGTTGCCCGAGTGGATGCCCCGAATTAACTGACAAGTACAAGAACCTCTCACGGATTGCGGCTGATTGCAACATGCTCAAGGGCACTCATCCCCATCCTCCCACCCAAAACAAGTTGCATGGGTGTATGCATACAGATGCCCTGATCTCACTGACAAGTACAAGACTCGTTTGCCCTTCTCCTTTCCTCCCTCCCTGCTGCCCTTTTTACAACTCAACCACCTGCAACCAGGTGGCCCGAGTGGATGCATATCGATACCCCGAGCTGACGGACAAGTACAAGATGCCAGGCTTCTCCACGCTCATGCTGTTTAATGGAGAAAGTGACTGATAGGCACCTAAAAATATATGAATCCATTCACCACTTTCCCTTCCTCAAACAACAGGTAGCACGTGTGGATGCATATCGATACCCCGAGCTGACGGACAAGTACAAGATGCCAGGCTTTCCCACGCTCATGCTGTTTGATGAAAGAAATATTCCAAGGAGCCTAAATTCACAAATCATCGCACCCCATCTTCTCCCCAATCAACAGGTAGCCCGAGTGGACGCATACAGGTACCCTGAGTTAACGGACAAGTACAAGATCCCTGGCTTCCCCACACTCATGCTGTTCAACGGAGAAAGGCCCGTTGCGACACACAGAGGGAGGCGGAACCTGGAGGCTCTCTTTTCCTTTGTGGAGAAACACTTCTAGTGGCGTGGGGAAAATGCACATGCGGGAGAGGCACTTGTTGTGGCTCTGGCTGATAAGAGTTCAACAGAGAGAGGCCTGTGGCGACTCACAGGGGAGGAGGTACGTAGTCTATTCGGGGTCTAACAAATGGCACTAAGCAGTTTTCAGATCACTCGAACTTGCTTGTGCGGATATATTATTGATATATTAGAGTATGGACATACCGTAAGTTTCTTTGCCAACTTGAAATTGGTAGCACAGCATGGCATTGCTAATTGTGTAGTGTGCCTTCAGAATAAATTATTCACAGAATACAAATGAGTAAGTGGGTGATGTGGAAGAGATGACAAATCATTCACGAAGTGAAGAATCATACAGCCCACCAAGAATAAAGAATGAAGGAATAGAAAGCCCATGCTGAAACCGGAGACCCATCAAGAGAGTACAGCCCACCACTACAATACAGCCCACAGGCTGAACACGAAACGAGGAGAATTTTGGGGCCAGGGAGTTCGGCCCTTTTATCAAAGAATCGGAGCAGCTTGCGTCGAGTACAGCTCCACGAAACGCCACCGCACGGTGTGTACACCTATTACGAACCGTTTCTACTGAGTGCGGGGAAGGGGAAGCGCCTTGCCGTGAAACGCGGAGAAGCGGCAGTCCGCAGCAAGCACCGAGGTAGACTCGTAATCCGCCGTCTCGCCATCCAGGAACCCCGCTCCTTCCGCCGCGTCCGCCGCGACGGGCCGCCCCAGCGCGTGCGCGAGCGTGTTGTAATCCATGGCGCGTTTCGCGCGCCCCTCGCGGTACGTCTGCCCCATGATTCCGTGCACCTGATTGGTCGCCTCGACGGAGTCGAACGCCACGTTGATGTGCGTCTCCGCGTCGTCAGGTGTTTGCAACAGAGGGTGCGCGACGCGTAGCTTGATCTCCATGTCCAGAAGCCCCGCTATTGTCACACGGTACACGTCTTTAACGAACGCGCCGCCCGTTTCAATCCCGACGAACGTGAACGTGAGACCTCCGGGGAGAGAGAGCGCCTCGCCCTGCTGAGTCATCCGGGAAAGCTCTTCCCCGTCCATTTCAGCCAGCTCCAGGAACCCTTCTCCGCGCTCCTGCTGCTTCCCCGCGCGCGCCACCAGGCGGAGCTTGTGCTCCGCCTCCCCCGCCGCCGCGCGCCACACGAACCCGAGCGCGCGGATCCACGTGCGCACCGCCTTGCCGTTGCGCAGAACCGTCGCGCCGACGGTGCGCGTGTCGTAATACCCGCGCATCTGCATGTTCACATGCACGTTGCGGTCCGTCAGCAGGCAGAACGTCTTCTCCGGAGCGCCATTGAACTCGAAGCGCGTGCCCAGTGCGCCCTGGAAATGCGGGTCGTTCTTGGTGTAGGGGCAGCTGCCGCCGACGCGCGAGCAGTTGTACTTGATGCGGTAGCCGTTGTTGTTGTCCAGCTGCGTCTCGCAACGCGGCGCCGTGCCGGGCGGGTACAGCCAGCAGATGCCGCACTTGAGGCACTTGCCCGAGGGATTCACGGTTCTGCGTGAAATCGAAAAAATGGGAACAAAAGGACTTTTTGAAATGCGGGATTCTCTCCGAAACCAATAGAAGCAGCTGAGGAAAAACACGCGAAGCTAAGCGACGAAGGTGAGGGAAATCCGCGTAGCCAAACGAAGTCGCTGGGGTGAATTCGCCCATGATCGCTCACCCAATGTAGTGCTGCCACATGGCGCACGGCTCCTTGCTCTCGGAGCACGCCTTGCAACACTGCGACGGCGTAAGCGACGCGATGCACCACTCGTTGTTGGGCTTCGGGTTGGCGCGCCCCGGGGGACACACGTTGGCGGATTGCTCGGGAAGCTGCGCGGATCAGTGCAGGGGTGGGGAGGGGAGGGGGAAATAGAAGTTTATATTGAGAAAGCAACCCGCTGCTCGACTATATTCGCCGCACTACCCAGAAATCAGATCGTGATCAAACGCGAGGTCAATTGTGAACAGTCGGGGACCAGCCGATCTGAACGACTCGAAACCGAAATTCGATCGAAATGCTCTGAATGGCAACGTGACGTTGCGGAATTTTGTGACAGTGATGACGGGAGCGTTCGAGAGCTTCAGGATCGAGTCGGTTTCTCACCCTCCAACGGCCGAGAATGCCGGCAGTGTCGTTGCACATGCCGCCAGAGCAGTAGTGCTTAAAAGGGGGGCACGCCTTGAGCGGACACGTCGGGTATTCCTGGTCGTTGTACCAGTCGATTACGGCAGCCGATGTGCCTTGGCCGTTGCCGTTCTGATTGTTGTTGCCCGCGGTGGAAAGGATGATGTTGCCGTTCGCGTCGTAGTTGTAGTTCGACTGGGAGGATGTCGCTGCGCCGTTGGCATTCCCCGCGAGAACGGAGGGCAATGCGAGGCCGAGGAGGAGTGCTACGGCGGCGATCTGATTAGCAGCCATGGCGGAAGACGAGCAGGTGTCGAGTCGAGAGACTCGAGAGCCTTCCGTAACCAGATTTTACTCCCACCACTGTGAGAAGAACGACTCAACTTTGAATGAAGGTTGAGTGAAGGAGGGGTTGAAATACTCATGATGCGGCGTCGCGAAATTCAGTGGAAAAACCTGGGTTGGGGAATGGGGGTGGGGAACAAGTCAGGAAAATGTTGTTGGGGCGTGGGAGGGCGCTCGCTGACATGTTCGCATGCGTGATAGGATCACTTTCGTGTCGCAGGCGGAAATCCAGGAGCGTCAATGGGCCTGTCGTCACTTCAGGTGGAAGGCGAGGTTACAGAGAGTCAAGGTGTTTGTCTGGATGATCTCCGTGGAGGGCTGCGTCTCGATGTGGGACTTCACTTCTGACCATCCATCGGCAGTTTGTAGAAACAATAGACTGTTGAATCACTGTTTGTGCAGCTCGAACCCCAGAATACGCCAAACAACACGCTTTCGGGACCAAATTCTGGTCCCAAAACAGAGCTCACGATTCGATGGCATTTGCCCTTGATTTCCTGAACATTCGGGATAATGGGCTGAGTACCTCTCGCTTTCGATAAATATTATGTATGGGAAAACATACTAATGGTAACACAATGGGGCTATTAAAACCGGTGTCCCAAGTTGCGAGGCGCACGCGTCAAGTATTTAAAGTTCTAGTATACATTTGTCAGCTGGGTTTAGGGTTTTCAAGTGAACCCACGGTTTTGGGTCAAATTTTCAAGTTCCTAAGGATTTTACATCCCTCCTTTCAAATGTATACAAAAGCTTTAAAGCTTGATGCTGTGAAGTTTGTGAACTTGAAAGGGCTGCACGCAAAGTGGGACAATCGAGGACCACCAGCGAAAAAGCCGAGTTTTGTGGCTAGGGTGGCGAAAAAAAAAAGATTTTTGACCAAATAAAACGCTCGTCACAACCCCAAAACTGGACTCCTTCTCCGTCATCCTTTTAAAACATGAACAACTTGGGCCGCGGGCTTTAGGAATTTTCCCCATTCCTTTCACCCAGTACGTGTACAACTCCAACTTTCGGAGTTCTTGGCTCGGTCCGACGACCTCGCCTTCCAATCGTACCTCGCGTCGCCTTCATTTTTTGGCAACGCCGAACCAGAATCCAACCATCGCGACCCTGCGAACCACGCCTAGCTAGGCTTTCGCTATGTTTATGTTAGGCCTTGTTATTTACGTAGTATAAATAATAAATTCCGCGATATTGCATTCTGCGCACTCTTTCATGCACAACTCATAACACGTGGTACCAGAGCTACTTTCCTACGTTACGTTCGCGTTTCCAGGGTAGTTTGTGGAAGGGGGGCGATCGACTTGATGGGCTGCGAAGCGGTCGTTCTGTGAAAAAAACACGATTATTTCGCTCCGACTACGTTAGAGTTCGCGCCTTATAAAAAATCTCTACTAACATCCTGCCCGTTCGACGAAGCCTGGGAAATATGGAACAGGCCGAGCTGAATAAGATTCTGCAACAGTTCTGTGCGATGAAGACCAATATGCAGACGCTGTCTGTGGAGGTCGAGCGCATGAGGGAGGAAAACGCCGAGCTACGCCAGGCGCGAGGTGAAGCGCGTCAGTAGTTGCCCATAGCGGATGTGTCAAGTGGGAGCTCTACGGCAAACGAGGCCGTCTTCACTGAGCTTGAAGGCTCCATGGATGCCGTAGAAGGAGTGCGGGCGCCAAAGTCGGGAGCTACACCGACACCGGCAATAGTGTTAGAATCGAAACGAGAATGGATGGACTAAGGGAAAGTTGGGTACAAATGTAAACCCTAGAAAACTGTACCCCATATGTGCTACCCCACTATAGCCTACAGTAGCTATGTCATATAAATCTGACACACCCCCATAGGCAAAGTGGGGGAGAACAAGGGGTCACAAGACCAGTCAAGCACAGCAAAGCAAGCTCAGGGTGGATCACAAAGTCACCACACATTCCGAGCACAAGTTCAAGGCCACAAGGCCAGTTCACATGCAGGATTACATATATATATAAGGCTAGACAAGCAAGAGCAGGTGTGTATATATATATGCAACAGTACAAACAAGGTCAAGGGGTGAGCAAGTGAGTCAAGGTAGGCACAAGACCCAGCTGAGTACAGAAGCGCTGATGATCACAAGGCGCAAGTGCCTTGGTGAAGATATCAGCAGTGTTGGCCTGAGAGGCCACGTACGCAAGCCGAGCTGACCACGCTGCTGTAGCTCACGAGCAAGGAAGTAGCGGAGAGCAATGTGCTTCGTTCTGTGCTCCAGTCTCTGCTCTCGACACAAGGCCAGCATGGCCTTGTTGTCTACGTACAGCACTGGAGGAGAACGAGGCGGCTCTCCGAGGTCAGTCAGCAGGTAGGTGAGCCAGCGAAGCTCCTGTGCAGCCATGGCCCCGGCGTAGATCTCAGCCTCACAATTGGAGCCGAGAACAGAAGACGAGCGGGTAGCCCGCCACGAAACAGAGCCGGAACCAAGGCTGAAGGTGTAACCCTGTGACGACCGCTGCGTAGCCTGGTCGTCAGCCCAAGAAGCGTCTGCGTGCCCAGTGAGGACCACTGGACTCTGCCCTCCAAGCACAAGCCCCATGCCCGACGTACTGCACAAGTAACGCAACACCCTCTTCGCTGCAGCCATGTGCTCCGGTCTGTGTCTCCCAGGAGCAACATAGCGTGCGAGAATGCTAAGAGGGTATGCGAGGTCAGATCGTGTGCAGGTCATCAGGTACATGAGGCAGCCAACAAGCTCTGGGTACGGGCCACTCGACTCTACGGACTCATCCGAAGGCAGAGCTGAGAGCGAGTGGCGAGTAGGCAGAGGAGTGGCCTGAGGCGAGGAGTACGTGAAGCCGAAGCGCTGAAGGACCTGCTGCACCATGTGTGACTGAGTCAGGGTAATGGTGCGGCGTGCTCTGTCCCGGGTGATCTGCAAGCCAAGGTAGCTGCGCAGTTCACCCAGGTCTGTGCACGTGTGTCTCTTCTGCAGCTCCGACTTCACGTGGGCGAGTCCAGCAGTGTCAGCTGTGGCAAAGACCAAGTCGTCGACGTACACGAGGATGTAGAACGGCGGCAAAGAAGTGTCGGTGCGCAGAAACAGCGACGGGTCGGCAGTAGAGGGAGCAAACCCAAGAGCCGCAAGTGTAGTCCTCAGTGTGTCGTGCCACTCACGCGGTGCCTGGCGGAGACCGTAGACTGGCCGCCGGAGGCTCCACTGGGTGCCAGGAGGAAAAGACCCAGTGAAGCCAGGTGGGCGACGCAGCCAGATCTCCTCGTGCAGGCTGCCCTGCAAGAAAGCAGTGCTGAAGTCAAGAGAGTGCAGCTCGTAGTCGCGGTGAGCAGCTATGTGCAGCAGTACCCGAAGAGTGGTCATCTTCGGGGTGGGAGAGAAGGTCTGAAAGTAGTCAACTCCCTGCCGCTGACTGAAGCCACGAGCCACGTAACGTGCCTTGAAGACAGGCGGAGAACCCGGCGGTCGCTTCACCCTGAAAATCCACATGCCACTGACGATGTTCGCCCCAGGCGGGGGAACCTCGTCAACGTAGGTGCCTGTGGACTTCCAGGAAGCCATCTCTGTGTCCATAGCTGCCTGCCACTGAGAGGAGTAGGGACCCTCTATCGCCTCCGCGTAAGAGCGCGGAGTCGGGATGTCAAGTGCATCCGGGTCTCCCTCAGGGGTAAGCAGTACGGACACGAGATGAGGTGAAGCAGCAGCCAAACACTGGAACTCCTCCTGCCTGTCCTCAAGGACGTCCGTGCCAAGGGCACACTCACCCCCGACGGACGGAGGACAGACAGACTCAGACGCAACGACAAGACTAGCAGCGTAGTCTAGACGACAGCGAGCAGCAAAGTCGACGAGCTCAGCAACTAGGGCAGACGCAGCAGTGGACTCAAAGGAAGGGTCAGTGACGATAGTAGCAAGGAGACGCGTGACAGTAGGTCTGGCAGCACGAAGAGAGTCCGACTCCGGGTCGGGAAGAGCAGGAAGAGAGGACTCAGGAGGAGAAGGCAAAGGGGCACGTAGAGGAGCAGTGGACGGACGCAGAGACATCCGGTGCGTGCCAGGGACAGGAGGAGGACGCTGACGCGAACCACGGCCACTAGTGCGAGCAAGACGGACAGGCGACGCAGGGCGAGACGCAGGCTCACGACGCTCAGCCATACCTCCAGTAGGACCAGTGTAGGGAGAAGGAGCGGGCAGTGTGAAGGCCGGCTGTAACTGTAACTGGGACGGGACAGGCTGTGGACACTCTAAGGGAGGAGGAGGACCAGTAGAAGGCGGGAGACCAAGAACCTGCTGAAGGAGCGGAACGAAGTACGGCCGAGGCTGCGCGGCGACTCCAGACACAGCAGGGACAGCACCAGTACCCCCAGCGGCAGCACCAGCGCCAGCAGCACCTCCAGCTCCAGTACCTCCAGCAGCACCAGTAGCACCCCCAGTAGGACCGCCTCCAGGACCGACAGCAGTAGCCTCAGCGCCAACACCCTCAGCAGCTCCAGCTCCAGGCGTACCCGCAGGCCCAGCAGCTCCAGTACTCCCAGTACGAGCACCTCCGGGACCCGCGGCACCAGCACCCGCAGCAGTCGAAGAACCTCCAGCTCCAGCAGCAGGCCGCCAGCGTCGGGCAAACCACTCTCGCAGCTCCTGTGGAGAGAGTGGCTCCCGCCGAGACGAAGCACCCGGAGAACCTCCAGGCTCAGCACCTCCAGACGCCACACGAGCAGGCCCAGCTCCCTCAGGCTCCGCACCCCCAGGCTCAGCACCTCCAGGCGTAGCACCCCCAGGCTCAGCACCCCCAGGCGTAGCACCCCCAGGCTCAGCACCCCCAGGCTCAGCACCCCCAGTAGTAGCACCCCCAGGCTCAGCACCCCCAGGCTCAGCACCCCCAGTAGTAGCACCCTCAGGCTCAGCACCCCCAGGCGTAGCACCCACACGCTCAGCACCCCCAGAGTCAGCACCCCCAGGCTCAGCACCC